CAGATCAATATTTCTTGGGATATGGTATCAGATCTCCCTGAAGTCCTATTTCAGACTTTCATAGAAATTAATATGTAGCCAATTTTAACTACAGTGACAGAGGACAGAGAGGGGGACTCTCTTATAAAGCCCATGGCTGCTGCCCTGGAAGAGGGTCTGTGGGTTGGATGTTCCCCTGGCTGCTGATCTGCTGGGCATTAAGTAGAGATGCAGAAAATGCACCGATAATGCCCAATTAAAAAAAGCTTTTTGGCCCCTTGAAATTAAAGGTGCAAGAGGGAAAAATTGCTGCTCACTGCCAATAATCACGGACTTCTGCAGTATTTCTACAATTCAGGAGCTTCAGCAGGGCAGGGATGCGCTTGTGAATCCAGATGAATGGGAGCAGAGAATTGGGTGCTGGGTTTTTTTTCTTCCCCCTGTGCTAACCTGAGGAGGGAGATAGCTAAAATCCTGAACAACTCCTGTGTGCCCAGGAGTACAGTTAGCCATAATTGCTAATTGTAGGCTTCATATGTAGATGCATTCAGGTTGATGGAACAACGGCGACAAATGCAGCAGGATGTGTAATTGTGCTGGTCATGCTGGGTGGCCTCTGCAAGCATGCCGGGGAGGAATTCACACTTCATTTTAGCAGTGTAGTCTTCAAACACAAATATTTGCTCTGTCTGGTTATGCATTTTAGTCTTGTGCAGGGGCCAGCCCAGCTGAGCAAAACTGAGCTCGGTATTACCTCTCCTTACGCTGCTCGCACCCTTCCCATGTGCACAATCCCAACCTTCTTTACTCTGCACATGCTACATATTCAGAAGGTGAAAAAAATAAATGTTTTGTTAGTGATAGAAAGGAAAACAAACAATACACTCCACATCAAACTGTGTCATGTATCCTCTCCTTGGCAGAGCCCCAAGCATCACAGTTACTCGGACTCCAGCAGCGCGAGCACAGAGGGAGGGATTAATTAAAACTAGTACATGTTAATGGAGCTCTAAACCTAAGTTCAGATTGCCTTAACAGACACAAAAAATATCATGGCATTAAACTCTCCTCCCTTGGGACCTGCTGGCGCGGCACGTTGGTGGGAGGTTGCCCCTTCCAGGGATTCAGTGCTCCTGGATCCATAGAAGCTGCCCGCAGAAGCTGCCCTGCCTTCACCCTGCCTTCGCCCCTCGACCGATGGCTGCAGCATGCCGAGAAGAGTTTCACCATTTTCCCTTATACAGCTGAATAGGCGCAGACCTGGGGTCCCTCCCAGCGCACCAAAATCCCCTTTGATGGACAACCGAGGAGCGGCCAGTTGGTCACCGCTACCTCCAGTTAGCTGAAGCCTCCCAAGGTTTGGTCGCGGGGGCAGGCTGAGCTCTGCCTGCCCATCCTGAAATGTTTTAATAAATCCTTGAAGGCTGCAAAAGCTGAAGGGAGTCAGAGGAAGGCCATTTTTTCTGCCTGTGCTTAAAAGGGGCAAATGATGGGAGCCAGGGAAATGTTTCCTGTACTCGTGTCTCATAGCTCCCGCGCCTCCAAAGGCAACGTCTGCTTTTTGTGTACTCTAAACCATTGCCCAGCTTTCTTGTATTTCTGAAGTTAGCAAGTTAAGGTCTTAATGTTGTGTTGTTAAATTTTCAGCATCTCCATTCACACCAGAAATCTCTTCTGTTCAGAGGGATTTAGAATAATTCAACTTCATGGATCCTCATTATTTCTCAAAAGGTGACTGTGTTGTTCAAGTGCCCATATTGTGACAAGCACCTAATTATGGATCCTTTCTGTAGACCCCCAGAGATGCCATTATGTCCACCTGCAGTAGAAGGGGGAAGATTACAATTTGCATTCAGCATGAGCTTTTCTCTATTATTTCCACTGCACGTAAATAGGGAAAACTAATCTTATCGACCACTGATCCTCTTTTCATTTATCTTACATTTCATTTTTTTTTTAAACAGCAGTTTTGCTTTGCTGCTTTTCCTCAGAGTATTGTTGTTTGCTATTTCAGCACTAGTGTATCTGCTCTACTCCAGTCTAATTGAATGTGCACCTTCGTTGGGCAATTGGCAAAAATATCTTGCCTAAAAGGGCTTTTCATCCTTTGAAAAGAAAAGCGTGGCTGGAGGGGATGACACACCCAAAGATAAAAGCTTGATCAATAACTACAAGATTGGTATATATTCACATGATTTTTCCTTTGTCCCTTTTCATTTTTATTTTTTTTTAATGCACTTTTCTCTCTTCTCGCTACCTTTCTGGTGATTGAAATTCTCAGCCTTCCAGGTCAAAATGTCTCCCCATCCATCTCTATTTACATCTGTAGGCAAGAATAGTTTTGAGGAGAAAATACCTAAATACAGTGTGCATTTTGGCACAAGCTCCTAATATCTGAATTAAAGGAGGTGAGTAATGAATGCATACCGCTCTCACAGGTCAACATGAGCAGGCAGACCACGTCTTCCCATGAGGTTGTCCTGTGTTTATCATTGCATTTCATAATTACTCCCACTGACAAAATCCCTGCAGAAATAGAAGGACAAAGGTGTGCTTTGGGAGGTGGAAAGACCTCATTCTGCTTCTGTTTTTCTCTAATGACAAGTCTCTTTTAGACCTTCACAGGAGGATAACATCTGCAAATGTTTTGATTTCCCATGTTTCGTCTCCTTTTTTTGCATAATTCAAGTGACAAAATGTAATGTTTAACCCAGCAGACCCTGGTTTGTGTTTGCCCCCATACTGTTTCTAATAACATTAAGCTCAAAGCATAGAAACTCCAGAGAAAGGAGACAGAGCTGGGCAGGGCAAGGATGTTCCACGAAGAATCATAGGATTATACAATGGTTTGTGTTGGAATGGACCTTCAAAGGCCATCTAGTCCAACCCCCCTGCCATGGGCAGGGACACCTTCCACTAGACCAGGTTGCTCAGAGCCCCGTCCAGCCTGGCCTTGGATGTTTCCAGGGATGGGGCATCGACCACCTCTCTGGGCAACCAGGGCCAGGGTTTCACCACCCTCGTTGTAAAACATTTCTTCCTTACATCTAGTCCTAATCTACCCTTTTTTAGTTTAAAACCATTACCCCTTGTCCTATCGCAACAGGCTCTGCTAAAAAGTCTCTCTCCAGCTTTCCTGCAGGCCCCCTTTAGGTACTGGAAGGCTGCTGTAAGGTCTCCCTGGAGCCTTCTCTTCTCCAGGCTGAACAACCCCAGCTCTCTCAGCCTGTCCTCATAGGAGAGGTGCTCCAGCCCTCTGATCATTTTTGTGGCCCTCGTCTGGACTCGCTCCAACAGGTCCATGTCCTCCTTACATTGGGGACCCCAGAGCTGGACGCAGTGCTGCAGGGGGGTCTCACCAGAGCGGAGCAGAGGGGCAGAATCCCCTCCCTTGACCTGCTGGTCACGCTGCTTTGGATGCAGCCCAGGATATGGTTGGCTTTCTGGACTGCAAGCGCACATTGTTGGTTCATGTCCAGCTTTTCATCCACCAGTACCCCCCAAGTCCTTCTCCACAGAGCTGCTCTCATATGTTTTTATTTTATTTATTTTTTTATTTTTAATTTTTTTGGTGAGTCTTTGACTTGGGTTTTTATTCCTGTTGTATCAGTTAGGGCAAAAGCTGGTGGTTAACAACACTTCCTACAAATCCAGCTGTTAAAACTTGTTTCAAGTCAATCCAACCCTTTTTGCTTTAAGAAACAGAAGCAATGCTGCGTTGTTGGTATGACATGCTAAAAAAAGATCAATGCAAAATGAGTTAAAAATAGAAAACTGATTTATGTCTCTGACACATACTGGTGTGTGCTCTAACGTTGTTTGACTTTCCTTTAGGACAAATCCACTGAGATTTTTGGGGGGTATGTTGGAACTGCATATTCCAGTGAAGTTCCCTCAAAGGTTTTTGCGGACACCACTGTCCCTACCACATCTGCTTGTAGCCTTTATGGGCTCAGTTTATTTGCCTGCACAGAGGTGCCTGGTGGTACATGAGATGCTCTAGGATGGTGTACGCAGCTCCAGCTATGGCTCTAGCAGGTCCTGGGTCCCTTATAGCTCTTGTGTCATATTTCCCACCCAGTCTAGATGGCTCGGCTACCCTACTGCATCTCAGATGCCACTGCATGCCCATGGTTTGGCAAGCCACTCTGTGTCATTTTTGCTATTATAGACACATCACTCTTTATGGGATACTCTAGAGGCCAAAGGTATTTTGCATGTAAAGGTGTCACTAGTATTCATGTGTTTAAGTCAAAGGAACTCAGATTTAGTGAATTCAGGCAGTGTTTTCTCATGTGTTTGGGAAATAATCCTCAGGTTTTTCATATTTATAAAGGATGAAGGCTATAATAAGCTTCTGGTGAAACACCCGTGTACCCAACATGCACTGTGAGATGTCATTTCCCTCTGTTGTGCAAATCGGTATGTTCAGCTAAATAATGTACTGTGATATTGTGCACATCTGTGGTGTTACAAAGGATGACTTGTGTGCATTTTCACTTGGGAAGTTGGAGAGGAGAAGGTCTGATGAAAGCAGCAGTCACTTGAAATATCCATCTTGTATTTCCAGCTCACGGATGTCATTTGGTGTTATTTGTGCCAGGTATCGCAGCTGTCACTGAGTCTTTCTCTGCTCAGTGTAGTGCAGATTGGTTTGATATTTCTATTTATAGTCAGCTGGGCCATGAAAAATTAGTGCAGAGGCATGTTACATCGCTCCAGCTTGCCTTTGATAGGAGCTCAGTTAATTTTTCCCCTCCCACGCCCACACCTGGGCCACAGGTGCCACTGAGGAGTGAGTTGACGATAAAGGCAAACCATTGCCACGAATCCTTTAAAAAAGTGGATGGAGGCAAATAATTCCAAAATGTGTTTCTGGAAGAAGATATTTAACAAAACGACTCAGAACAGAGGGGAAGGGGGCGGTTGCAGGCTGGATCTCAGCACTTGGCTCCAAAACTGGCTGCCTGATCATTCTGTGGTTTCTTTGTTTTCCCCCTTTTTATTCCTGTCTCCTACAGGCAAAGCCTACGCTCCCGAGTTCTACTACGACACCTACAACCCCCTGTGGCAGAACAGACCCCGCGTGTACTCCTACAGTCTCCAGTGGACTCAGATGAACCCCGACGCTGTGGACCGCATCCTTGCCTATCGCTTAGGGATTAGGCAGGTGAGGAAGAATATCTGTTTGTGCAGGACATGCCTTTTAAATCTGCTGACCTCTGTGAGGACTGCTGGGCCTGTATTTTATTTTATTTTTTAAGTTAAATTTTATTTTATTTCATTAATTTTAAAACTTATTTTACTTTACTTATTTTTGTCCTCCCTCTTTTCGTCTTTTGTGAGTCAGAGGTGTTTCTTCTCCCTCTGGAAGGTTTGCTGCCATCTTGCAGAAGTAGTCCTCTGCTGCTTGCAGATCCTGGAAACTAATTTGCACTTTTGTAGTATGAAACGCAGAGATTAAAGAGCTGTTCCTCAGAGGGTTTGCAAAGGCTGTGGCTCAAGATATGCTAGAAAGATTACATGAAAGACACTTGCAGTGAAATTAAACTTTTTTTATCTCCCTGTATGTATCTATATATCTTTTATTAGATCTTCCATGTTAATAGATAAATATAGGGATAGCTGTAGCATTCCTATGGAAACACATGGTGATCCTTGAGAACTGAGACATCGTTCTCGACCACATTAAAGCCGATCACAATGTGTCTTCACAGAATCACTACGAACTTTTCAATGGGAATTGGCACTGTTAAGGAAGCGTGGGATCAACCCACTTGCAGAGGAATCGTTAAATTAACACATTCATCCCCATTAATTTTCCCTTTAACAATTTTAGAAAAATATCATCTGTCTTCTTTGAAGGTTATTGCTACAAAGCTTGAGTTTTAATAGTCAACTAAAGTGAGAGAACCAATCTGTGCATTGCTTAAACTCTCGTTAAATGTCAACACCTCTGCTTACTCCCCTGCACAGGGCAAAGTGATCTTTGTTTGCACTTGCACTTTCCTACAGCAAAGCCCATACAAAATCTCACGATTTTATGCTCTAAAGCCAGAAAATTGTTGTGCCATAACACTTGTTTGTGATCCTGTCTAGAGTCTGTCCATGCTCAGGACATGGTTTAGTGGGCATGGTGGTGTTGGGTTGACGGTTGGACTCGATGATCTTAAAGGTCTTTTCCAACCTAAATGATTCCATGATCCTATGATTCACGTCAAACACTACAAGTGACACTGACAGCTTGGGTTTTGGCATTGCTCGGCTTTCTCAAGGAAAAATACATGGTTTGAAAATAACGCTCCTTGCTATGAACACCTCCTTGGCCACCATGTCCACCTCCAAGTCCTATCTTACCAGTTGGGCTGCCAGCCTTGGTCTGCACTGGCAGAGGCATGCACTGGCAGAGAAGGCTGTGCCGTGCCATGCCATGCCGTGCCATTCTGTGCCGTGCCGTGCCTGGTTGGGATGGCAGGGCTCCCACCACCCCAGGTCCTGGTGACATGCCCCCGACTCTCGCTCCCAACCTGGACGTGCTGCAATCAGATGAAGACGTTTTGCCGCTTACTCGTGAGAATCCATCTGATATTGGTTTGGTCTTGTTTTACACTCTCTCATTGAGCTTGCTTTTCTTTAAGTAGTACCACAACTGATTGATTTTGAAAGTATATGTTTGGTTATTCAATGCCTGAAATAATAGTTTGTGCAGGGAGAAAGAGATAGGGGATTAAGACAGATTCTTGAAGACATATATTTTTGAAAATGTGAGTGCAGAAAGTATTTTGTTGTCCTGCAGATCTCCTACTGGGATGAGCTTTGTAAGCTGCAAAATAAATATACAATTTGAGCATGTTATTTATGCTGAGGGGATGGGTTTTTTTGCTTCTAGAATTTCCGTGGTAGTTGTGGAGTTGACCGGGACACATCCAGGGAAGGGCTTTGATACCTGGAAGGTGCTGGCTCTCCTTCACTCAGAGTTTGTCTCTGCCTGAATCTAACTAATTTGAAATGAAAATCGGTGACTTTTAATACATGTTTATGTAACTGTTTGCATCACTGGGCACAAATCAGTTCCGTTATTCCCAGTACCCAAGAGGAATTATTAAATTTAAAAAAGAATTTGCTGAGGTAAAAGAATATATAATGAAATTAATTGCATTAGGATTTTTAGCTTCTTTTTTTCCATTTCATTTTAATTTACTTTTAATTACCTATTTATATAATTATCTAGAGTTACTATACTCTAATTTCCTTGACAACACTCTGTCAGGCTAATCAAAATATTTTCCTTTTGTCTATCTGAAGCCACATTTAAAACATGGGTGATTTAGAACCTAGTGAGCCATCCGGACACACTCGTCCATTATTGCAGTAATTCCCTCTGAAACAAGGGTGATAATTAAACTTCTTTTTTTTTTTTGACACCTACTGGGACTGGCTACCAGCAGATTGCCTTCTGAACTGTTTGTATTTAGATAGTTTATTTGACTTAGCAATGTGGTTTTTACTGGGTTTTGCTATGGTTTTTATTTAACAATAAAAGGGGGGATGAGCATCCTTCGGGAGCGGCAGAAAGCACCGCTCATGGCTGTGCAAAGTTCATCGCAGAAACAGGGCAGGAGGGTTTCCAGGTCGAAGCGAGGGTCCGAGCTAGCGAGCAGCCTGCAACCCAACATGCTGCTGTTGTAAAAAGTGACTGCTCTTCATCTTTGTTTTCATCTTCTAATGCACTGCAGAATGCTGCCAGTGGGCTATGTAGTGGGTCAGTGTGCTGGTATCTGCTTCTGATTTGATTAACACCATTACCTTTATCTGATCAGTAAATTGCTTTTGTATTAAGAATGCTAAAATCAGAGCAAGCGTCTCTTCCCCTTTACCTGACCTGTACATTGCTGCTTCACGTGAGACAGAATCCAGGGAATATTTTGAGAATATTTAGTTGATAGCAGGTTTAGGCTTACTGAATTTTCTGTGGAATAGTTGAAGTCTGTAATATTGACAATATTTTTAATGAAATTTTATAAACCCAAGAGTTTCTTATGAGACTCAGAGTGGTTTAGCTGCTTTTCTGTATTTGCCAGGTGGCTGTAGAAAGCAACACAAAGGTTGTGCTTAATAATGAAACTTCTAAAGGGCAAAGGAGCCTGATAATAGAACGTAGAAGATCAGGGATTTTCCTTAAAGACAAATTGTTCTGCTAGGAGGAATTACATTATACAGTGTTATAACAACAGGAAAGTATCTCCACTGGGTGACATATAGTGAGATTGTAGAGCTGGAGATGTCTCTGCCTTGACCAGCTCAGGCAAGCAGTTTTGAAAAGTTTTGCTGGCAACAGAAACTACTGGAGAGAAAAATCCAGTGCCAGAGATATAGTGCAGGCAGACGGAACAGGGATGCTGGAGCAAAGGAGCTGTGCCATGCTGAGGTGGGTGTATGTGATGAAAATAATTCAGTTCTCTTTCTGTAGAGGTCCAAGCAGGAGGTACGAGCTAGTTCACCGTGGATGCCAGGAGAGGCTGTTGCACTATCAGGACCTTCAGGATTCTGTGGTTGCTTTGTAACATCGAAAACAAATGGTTTAAGAACAAAACTAATGAATTTAAGAAGTTAATTGAAAATCTGTAAGAATCACTGCATTTATATGTATGTTATCTGTATGTCTTTCCTTAAGATCATTTTATAGCTCTCCCCCCACTCCTTTATTTAAAGCTACAAACTGCACGTACAGCACACTGATGGTGAGCAGAAGTTTGTTCAGTCGAGTTTGTCCTGCTGGCATGGTAGTGTGTGATGGATGCTCCCTCCTGGGAGAATCAGGGAGGAACAGGAATTATTTAGAGCACTTTGCTTTCCGCTTAAGCCCAGACACTCCTGTTGTTGCCTTTTGGGGATTCATTCTGTGCTTACCGTTATTTTTTAACAAGCCTAGGCTCTTGTCTGTGTTTCTAGTTGACGCAGCACATGGAGAGTGGCTTCCCGGTGCTGGGTTTTAATTGGCTTGGAGGATGCTGAGCTGCAGTATCTGCCAAGCCTGCTGTGATGGAGCATCTAGCCACCAAGCAGTCTGTATGGCTGTGCTCCTCTTTAATTGAACAGTGACAAATAACTGTTTTAAAAAATGAGGCGCTAACTAAATGGCCATAGAGTTTACTTGTTGAGTGAGTCTAAAAGCTGCTGTTCATGTGCTTTGATAGCGCTCAGAGCCCTCAAGCATGTCTTGAGGAGATGGCACAGCTCTGCAGTATGCATCCAGGCCCCATCCCTCCAAGGAGTTATTAAGGACGTGGTCTTGTCCTCATGGAAATTTTGGGGTTGTTCACTTAGAAGAAAAAGTATTTACTTGATGAGAGATAATAGCAAGGGACCTGGTCTGATTTGCAGTTCTTGTAAGACCAGTCTAGATAATTTTGGCAGGGTAAAAGGGACTTGAAGTGGTTGGTCCCTTTCCTGAAAGAAGGAAAGCCCTTGAGGACAATGGATTCAGTCTATGGACAGTCCTGCTGCCAACCTTTGGCAAAAAGAAAGACTCAGAAGGTGGCAGAGAAACACTGCAATGTATATAATAGCTATTTCTCTTGGGCCACCGGATCCAAAAGAAGGAGAGATTAAAGTATTCCTTTCATTGCCATGCATTCTACTGCATGTTGCCCACATTTAGAGAGCACAACAGTGGTGAACAACTATTTAGGTACATCTGGGCATGGCATGTGCAAGCACATCTGCCATCTGAGTTCCACGTGCCAAAGAAGGAAAAGAAAGAATTGAGCCCATCTGTTTTTCTCCCCCTGCCCCCCCGCCAGTTTTCATGAGCTTTTTCCAGGCTGGCAATGAGAGGACACATTCCTGGTCCAAGAGCAGCACATCGTTCTAGTACCTCAGAGCATCAGTAGCAATTTTCCCACTGCTGAAGGGAAAGTCTGAATAGACATCTGAGCAGAAAAATAAGAGATGTGTGGAGCCGAAACAAAGGTCCATTTGAAAAACTCGTTTGTGGTTACCACAGTCTTGTACGGCAGAGTAAGTTTGAAATTAGGGACACAGCTAGTGCAGGGTGTAGTCAAGAGGAATAGGTACGAGTCTACAGTTGCTTCTTGGCAGAAAATGGGGGCATACATTTCATGCTTGAAGATACAGACCTGAAAGCAGAGGAAGAACAAATGAAGTTAA